GATAGGATGCCTTACAAAATACTAAGAGGTCGCTGGTGTGATATCATCATTCTGAATGTTTATGACCCACCAGAAGATAAAATTGATGATATAAAGGACAGGTTCTATGAAGAACTAGAACTTGTATCTGATAAATTCCCAAAGTACCATATGACAGTTTTGTTAGGAGATTTCAATGCCAAAGTAAGCCATATCAAAAAAATCTTACTGTCGAAATTACATAGTTCCCACATCGTGACACTCACAAATTTACTTGGAAGTCTCCTGATGGGAAGACACACAATCAAATTTACCATATTTTGATAGATAGGATATGGCATTCAAGTATACCTAACATCCACTCATTCTGGGCAGCAGATTTTGATACTGACCACTACCTGGTGGTGGCAAAGGTTAAGGAAAGACTGGCAGAGAGTAAACAACGCACAGGGTTCATATGGTGAGGTTCAATCTCAAAAAATTAAACAAGGTAGAAGGTAAAGAGCAGTATCGTGTTGAAATCTCACAAAGGTCCATGGCTTTCGAAAACTTAAGACACCGAGGTGGATGTTAATAATGCTTGGGAAACTATTAGAAAAAATATAAAAATTTCAACCAAGAAGACTCTAGGTTATGAAATGAATACGCATAAGCAACTGTTTCATGAAGTATGCACAAAATTATTCGACCAAAGAGAATAAGTCAAACTGCAGTGGTTACAGGATCCAAGCGAAATAAATGGGGATAATACAAACAATTAAGATGGCAAACCAGTACGCATTTCAGGAATAGAAAGAGGGAATAACTGAATGATAAAACTGACGAGCTTGCAATGAACAGCAAGAACAAAAACATTAGAGACCTGTATAGAGGAATAAATTACTTTAAGAGGGGTTACCAGCCTAGAAGTAAATTAGTGAAAGAACGAGAATGATCTGCTTGCAGATTCCCACAACATTTTGAATAAGTGAAAGAAAGAACTACTTCTCCCAGTTATTAAATGTATATAGGATCAGTGATGTTAGGCAGATATATATACACACACAGCTGAGCCGTTAGTACCTGTTACTAGCCCTTCTGAGGTTGACATTACAATTGCAAAATTGAGGTTTAAATTGTCAGATACTGATCAAATTCTGGCGGAACTCATTCAAGTAGGAGGTGAAATATTATGTCTAAGATCCATAAGCTAATTACTTCTATTTGGAATAAAGAGGACTTGCCTGATCTGTGGAAGGAGCCTATTATTTTACCAGTTAAAAAAAGGGTGATAAAACTGAGTGCAGTTAATTATCTGGGAATATCACTGCTATCAACTTCATATAAAATTTTGTACAGCCTTTGTGGTCCAGTGGTCACAGTTCCTGGCTACAGACCCGGAGGTCCGGGTTCGATTCCCAGTGCTGACCATACGACACCCTCTATCAGCTAAAGTTGGCACTAACTTCACCAACAAGAGCGGTCGCTCGGTTGATATACTTCACTTGTGGACTACAGGCCACAGAGTTTGTTTGTTTGTTTGCTTTTTTTATTCTTCTCTCAAGATTAAGTCCATACATAGATGAAATTATTGGGGATTATCGATGTGGATTTCAACATAACAGATCAACTACTGAGCAGATCTTTTGCATTTGTCAGATACTGGACAAAAAATGGGAGTAAANGCTGAAATGGAGGTTTGCGTTACTTTCTATATCTCGATAACTATTAAAGCTAGAGACTCCAATAAAAAAAACAATTAGTTCCTCACGATATAGACTACAATTCATGTCACTACAAGTTTTTACTGAACTCACTTCCTCTAGGTCTAATTAAGCTTGAAACTTACCTACCAATTTTGGAAAAAGAAAGCTATTTTTGACCTTCAAATACCAATGGGAGGGGGAAGGTATCAGATCTTTGGTGTCTACCCTTTGTTGTTGCCTACATGGGGAATATAATCACGTAGTTTTGAACCCCATTATCTATTTTTCAGAATTTTCCAGCTTCCAAACTTTGCTCTGGGCCCAAAATGGGACATTTTTAACATCTCATATCTCCAGTGGGGAAGCTCTGAAAATTTTGAAATTCGCGGCAAATAATGCTCTATTCTAGAGTAATTTGCAGTTAAAACTACAACTTTGATATTCTGCTAATAACGCATCGTGTATTTTGACATCTGAACCCAAACGTTTGTAATCATGATGATAGTGCTGAGCTGCTTTCTCAGCAGCTGTATGTATGGACGAAGCATTTTCCAAGTCAAAAGTAAATAATTTTTTCAAATGGAATGTTCTATACGTATTGTCATACGTGAAGAATGTAATAAGACTACGTATGGTGCCGTCAACAAAGAGTTAATGCTTTTGAGTGAAGAGAAACAAACTGTTTTGAAGTTGAGATTGGGTGAATGCAATTTAAGTTCCATATGCAAGTACCATGAAATTAAATATTTTGTTAAATACAATCATCTGTTTCGAAATATTTGTTGTGCACAAACGAACCATTACGAAAGGTTTACGAGAAATTTCATTAGAACATCCGAAGAAAGAAAAGAAGTTTCCGGTAGCTCTAGTACCAGGTAAATCCTTGTGTCCTAATTGTTACACAAAGATTTTTGTTCTTAAAGAAACTGTAAGTGGGGGCAGTAGTGGTTCTGGAAGGGACGAGTTTGCACCTATACAAGAAAACCTGGCAGAATTAGAAGCAGTATGTTCGGCTGTAGACATTTCTCCTATGGTTAAAATTATAAAGATGAATCCTGGGAAAACACCTGCTGCTTCATCAAAAAAATGTAGAAGAATATCCGACTCTCTTTGAAGGAAATTAGCGAATTCACTTTCAGACAACTTCATGGATCTTGTTTCAGATGAACAAATACCTTCCCTTGCATTAAGTGAGGAATACAATTTGTTGATTAACAAATTAAACCAGAAATGTTTAATCTCAAACAAAGAAGACAAAATTAAAACCATTAGCTTATTGCCAATTTCATGGTCAAGAAAGAAAACAAGTAAAAAATTTCGAGTTTCTGAGCACTTGGTTATAATTACTCGAGCACTTCAGCAGGTGCAAGGGATCCTTCCAGATTTAGGCAAAAGGTGGGGCCAGACAATTAGTGATGAAACAATTCGGGCTGTCATGGAGTTTTAAGAAAACAGTAGGATCTGTCCTGGAAAAAAGGATTGTGTAAGGGAGGTATCAAACAGCATAAGCAAAAACGGCTGATACTATATAATTTGAAAGAACTTTACATTCAGTTTAAGAATACTCAACATGAACACAAAATTGGTTTCTCCAAATTTTGTGAACTTCGACCGAAATAGTGTATCATTGCTGGTGCATCGGGGACTCATATCGTTTGTGTGTGCAACTTTCATCAAAATGTTAAGCTGATGCTGGAGGAACCAAACTGAATTTGGACTACAAGGATTTAATATGTTTAATTGTTTGTGACATCGAAAGTTATAAATGCATGATTACTGAATGTGCAGACTGGCCTCGAGAAGAAATTCTGATGGAATTGCTATCAGCCAAATCAGAGAGCATGCCCGATCAAATAGTCTAGAAAAAATGGGGCAACATAGACAGAGCTAACATGATTTCTGAAATGCAAACTTACAGTGAATTCTGTGAAACTATAACCGAAAAACTGACAGAACTGAAAAAAAATCACTAAGTGGCTAAAATTCAGTCGCAGTGTTTAGAAGAAACGAGGGAAAACCTGACCAAAACACAGTGCTTCGTTCTTGCAGATTTTGCAGAAAACTATTCGTTTCTTGTTCAAGACAAGATTCAAAGTTTCCAGCGGGTAAATCAACAGGCTATACTTCGCCTTTTTGTGTATTACTACAAGGCAGACAGGCAAAGCCTGCGTATAATCAGTGATCAGGTAAAGCACGATACAGCCACAATTTGTGTGTTCCAAAAATAACTTACTGCCGATATAAAAAAAATGTGCCTTAAGTCAGGAAAGTTATTTATTTCAGTGATGGCGCTGGAAGCCACTATAAAAACAAAAAGAATCTTTCCAATTTATGTCATCACCATGAAGACTTCGGACTTGAAGAAGAATGGAATTTCTTTGCCACCTTGCACGGGAAGAATGCCTGTGATGGTATTGGCAGCACCACGAAGAGGCAAGCAGGGAAGGCCAGTCTTCAAAGAACTCATTTTAATCAAATCACATATCCGCTAGGTGGGTGGACAATATTAAAATGGACATTAGAGAGATAGGGTAGGATGGTATGGATTGGATAGATCTTGCTCAGGAGAGGGACCAGTGGAGGGCTCTTGTGAACATGGTAATGACCCTTCAGGTTCTATAAAATGCTGGGAAGTTTTTGAGTAGCTGCAGAATTGGTGGCTTATCAAGATGGGCTCAGCTCCATGAGTGAGTAATCAATAAAATTATCATGAAAACTTTATTTTATAGCAATCACAGATACCTTGCTATACTGACGGCACAACAGATGTCTACTGCTGCAGAATCATGCAATTAGAATCTCAATATAAGGCTATTTTGTGGGAAGTTCAGAAGCGTGTTAGTATAACAAAAGGAGGACCCTCACCATTACAGGCATATAAGCAGAAGGTACATCGATGTGTGCCCACACATTTATGTAAAATCCACACACCAATAATGGATAAGCCACAGAACAAAACAGTAACAGAGAAACTCACCAGAACACAGTGTGCAGGAGAGTTCATGGACAGACCTCTGGAGTTCCAGATAGCCAAAGGACAGAAAATTCAATGAACTACACAGCTTAAGAAAGGAATACATCCCTTGGGAATACAGTTTTTCAGATGAAGAGATGTAGCAGTAGTAATTTATCATATCACAAGGCTGAAGTAAATATGTACAAGTAACTGGCATGAGATTTAAAGGTCTAATGAAAATACAGTGTCTGTATATATACATACATATAATATATGTCATGTATATTTGCACAGAATATGAGTATAACCAAAGGCATCTATAGCTCTGTATAATGAACTTTGGTTTTCATTCTATTTACAGAAAACATCTTTCTTAGAAATTCATTTAAGCATGTATAATTATTTGTAACCATACAAGTGAATCAAAACAAAACATACAAGACACAAAGAATAAACTTTCTCATTCTTATCAAATGCACTTCAAAACATTAAATGACTGGCTCCCACCCACTATTTACATACAACTGGAATTATTTCTCTTGGATTCCAAACTTCTCGTATATCTGTTCTTGTACCTATGAAGATAACCTGTCAGAATAGTCTCCTCTGCTATTTCATAACAACTCCATTCTTGCGTTCAGTACACTGGTTGCAGTTGTCTACAAGGTGAACACCAGATGGCTGTGTGCCACAATTTGGAAATATTAGAATTATGTTGATGTCTTTTCTTTCAAACCAAATATTGCATGATAAACGCTCTGCAAAGTTTAAAGTAAATACTGTGAAATAAAACACATGTCACATGTAATTTCACTGTACTGCCCAGGCCAAATGGTACAGGAAATGAACTAAATACACTGGAGGACTATTACTGGTCAATCCAAGAGACTAGGCAGAAAAATTCCTGGTGTGATTTATTTACACATGAACAGGACCAATGTGTGTCCATATACGATACTCCAAGAGACAAGAACCCTCAACTAGTCTGCAACATTCACTGTATCCAGAATTCAATCCTTCATAGTAATGATGAATGATCACATTACTGGGAATAAAAATGACCCATGTTAAAACAACATTGGTCACTGCTGAAATAATATCCCACCAGCTAAAACATGAGTTGGCAGCTTCTTGCAAAAACGAGGGTGACCAAGATGTCCGGGTCACTCTTGCAGCACAGTTCCCGAAATCAGAGCAGATTAAACACTTCTCGTGTATAGGTATGTACACAAATATACATGAAAACTTCTGGCCCCCTCAGGTTTATGCAGAGGAGTACACATTAATTTATCACATGTCCATCTCACCATGAGAACAGGACTTTCCGTCACTCATCCATACCATCAGCTGTCAAATTGGTACTGCATGCATCTCCATGAGCATCAGCAGTTTGGACGGTCATCTTGCTAGAGTGTTCTTCCTCATTCGTATCCTGTTTCATGTCCTCTATAGTTCCAGCTGGGTCTTGTGGATCTGAGCTGTGATTGTGGGCTGGTATAAAACTCTCTGCTCCTCCTGTGACAAGCAACTGTGGAGACGGTGAAGTCTGAAGATTCTTCCGGGTTTTCTCTCCCTTGCGCCACAGAGTGATCTCCTAAGAAAGATCAACATGCTATCAGCACCAAGTACAGTCATTAATGCAGCTGAATCAGTGCAAAATAGAGATAAAGTCTGTGAAAACTGGAAAAAAAATAACTGTTTCCATCATCTTAAGTCGTCACTTAATCTGTCCTGCCACTAGTTACTATACCAAAATCTGTTTATAGTTCATCTTAGAAGTTCTTGATTTCTACTCTTAGAGAACCATCTCAGACCCATTAGAGTAAACAATCGGTGAACTATCAACTGCACTGAAATGGATGCACATATTGCAAGAACCAAAGAATTATTTTATGTCACATAAATAACATCAGTAACTTAAGTAACAGTAGTTTTGGTGAGTAAAAGCAAAACTTAATTAACTGTATGCCATTGGGATTAGTTATAAGCTCTAAACTCTGAGGTCTGATATCTGAAAGAAGAGATTCATTCCACTTGCTTTCACTGTGACAGAGTTTGGTGAACTTCTATAAGGTATACTTCCTGAATAGAAACTAGTTTACAGCAGTTCATCATGCCTTTAACAAGTATAAGGGTCGTAGTACTGTCTCTTTCTATTTTTTGTTTATTTAATACTGTCAACTGCCCAGATTATACAGGATGTTTCAAAAAGAGCTTTACAACTTTGAAAGTTTATATAAATTTATATAGAAGACATACTCAACGTTTTGAACTGTCATAATGTAGCAAAACACACCGAGTTTCATGCACATGGTACTGTAGTACCCAATACCGCCACCGCGAGCGCTCCCGCAGTTGAAATCAAGATGGCTACTTTCACAGGTGCAGAGCGTGCTTGTTGTCTGTTTTGGTTCGAAGAAACGAAGTCTGCTACACAAGTTCAAAGGAAATTTCACACTCGGTATCGCAAGGAACCTCCCAGCAGGCCTACAATTTACTTCTAGCACAAGAATTTTGTTCAGACTGGATGTTCTGTGCGCCATGCCAATCCACCCGATTGGCCACGTGTTTCTGACGCTACAGTGGAACAGATTAGGGAGAGCTTTGTTCAAAGTCCACAAAAGTCAACGCGACGTGCATCTTGGGAAACTGGTATTCCAAATGTTACTGTGTGGCAAGTGTTACGAAAACATTTACACTTAAAAGCATACAAACTATCCATTGTTCAACACCTTACAGATGCAGATAAGGTGGTTCATAAGGAATTCTGTATGCAAATGTTTCATCGGATACAAAACAATGAGAAGTTTCTGGACTCCGTAATTTTCAGTGATGAGAGCATGTTTCATGTCAGTGGTAAGGTCAATATCCACAACTGCAGGATCTGGAGCAGCGAAAATCCACGTGTCTCCCTGGAACATGTTCATGATAGCCCAAAGGTGAACGTGTTTCACACCCTCAGCAATGAGTGTATGGCCCCTTCTTCTTCATTGAGATGACCATTACCAGTATCGTATATCTGGACATGCTCCAAGAGTTCCTCATGCCACAGTTAGATGAAGATGACCAAGAAGGACGCATTCACTTCCAGCAAGACGGCGCAACCCCTCATTACCTTTGAGAACTGCACGAGTACCTCAACACCTGTTTCCCAGGTCAGTGGAATGGTAGACTGGTGCCGATAGCATGGCCACCTCGTTCCACGGGTCTTACTACCCTGTATTTTTTCTTATGGGGATTCGATAAAGATCGAGTGTTCGTACCACCTTTGCCTGCAAATGTCGTTGAGCTCCAAACTCGAATTACTGCCTCAGTTGCAGATGTGACACCAGAGATGCTACATATCATGTGACAAGAGACTGACTACATGTGGGACGTCTGCCACATTACCAATGGAAGTCACACTGAACCATAACTATCCGAGGTAAAACTCGGTGTGTTTTGCTACATTATGACAGCTCAAAATGTTGTGTATGTCCTCTGTATAAATTCATATAAGCTTTCAAAGTTGTAAAGCTCTTTTTGAAACACCCTGTATACTGTAATGTGGATAGCCATAGCATTGCTAGGTGACCCCACCACCAAATACACACAAAGCAACAGTGGAAGATGAGCCTCAGTGGAGGAACGTTTTTGCGCATTGCAATAGAGACAGTAGCTAGGAAATACACAACTTGTTCTCTGTGTGGTCTTCCGTATGCAACAACAGAACTGGGTTTTCTACACGTGGTCCATGCAGGGGCTATATAAAAAGAATAACACTAGCAGTTCAATTCAGTTCTTGGTAGACGACAGCCACTGGAAGTTCGTAGAAGACCTGTGAAGACTTAAAATGTGAATTGAAGACTTTGTGTTATAATTACAGTAATCTTGGAAGTGTTACAATTATTTGTAGTTACAACTAGTGAAAATATACAATAAATCTAGCTATCAAATCCAGAACTCATTATTTACTGTCATGTTACCAGGATTCAAGTGACAACCGATGTCAGAAGTGGTCCTATTTAATCAATTATTGGATTGACGACTGTATTACGTATTTACGGCACTGTTACATGAAAAATGGAGATGAAATGAATAATCGAAATTCTGGCCAAAATGAATACCTGCATGGAAACCAACCAAGCCAAGTTAGAAGCCTAGAAAAGCCAACCAAGAGCACATGCAAGACATGCTGGCCACGAAAGACACCAATAGGAAAACCTACTGCAAAGCGCTAAGGGAAATGTAAGCAAGAATGAAATACATGATGGAGAGTCAGTCGGGTTTTCTAGTATGCAGAATGGAGGTGGACAGGAAAACAGAAAGGGAAAAAATGAAAGCCACAATACAATCCATGTGGTCACAGGCGGATGAGACAATCTAAAAGCGAGGCGAAAACATCATGATGTGCATTAACCACAAGACAAGAGTCTCCAGAAAGCCTACCAAGAGATGACCGCCTTCCACAAGGCAATGGAGGCATATACAGGGAAGATTCAACCCAATCCAAGAATGATGCAGTCCACAGCAGAGCATCAATAAGTCCCAAAGGAAGAAGACACAGTGATGCTGGTCAGAGGACCGAGGAAGCAGAATGGGGACTGGAATCTTGCCACAGGGCGCAGCCAGAAGCCGAAGGGAAGGATCCAGGCAAGTTGTGAATCCAGGAAAAGACTGACTGTTGCTGGCAAGAGGATGACACGTTGTGCAGGAGCAGCATGGCTTAGGAGAGGCATCATCAGAAAGGACTGAACCAGGGCCAAGGTTGAGTGAGCAACCCAAAGAGTAGGGCCAGTCAGGAAGAATTTACAGACGCACCAAGAAGGAAAAAGGAGAACAAAGGATCTAGGCAGCAAGTGGTTGCTATATGTGAGAAAGAAGAGGGCAACTATTGGAGAGCATTGGAGGATGGCGCTCAAGACAGCCATCACCTCTGTGAAGAGGACTGACCTATAAGACCCTCAAGAAAACCCTGGAGCTGGAATTTGTGAAGCAAGCAAACGGGATGTCCAGCGGGTTTCTGAAAATGAAGAAAGGAAAATTGTGCAGAGTTCGGCCCCCTGCAAAATGAAAAAAGAAATTGTGCTGGGAGTAGGAGCGGAAAATGTGGGAACACAGGCCACTCGTGACAGTTTTGCACCACCAAAAAAAAATGGGCAATGAAGAGAACCTGAACTGATGGGAACCCTATCAGGGAGCTGCTCAGGATGAGCACCCTTAGGGAGGGAGCAAATATAGAGCTAGAGAGTGATCACTGCGGAGAAACTAGCCACAGGAAGGAAGGGCTGGTGGTGTACATATGTATGTGATGATGCATCAATAAGCTATTCAGGATGAACAGCCTTAAGGAGGGAGCAATATAACATGGATGGACACAGCACTGACTGGTAAACACCCCGTGGCCAAATACACACAAGGCAACAGTGGAAGATGTGTCTCAGTGGAGGAATGTCATTAAACAGTGCTAGGCAACAACGCACCAATGAAGACGCTGGCTAGGAATCACGTGACTTGTTCTTTGTGTGGTCTTCCTTATGCAACAGTAGAACTGTGTTTTCTGAGCTTAGTCCATGTGGAGGCTATATAATGAGAATAAAACCAGCACTTCAGTTCAGTTCAGTTCAGTTCAGTTCTCAGTAAGAGACAGCCACGGGAAGTTTGTAGGAGACCTGTGAAGACTTAACATGTGAACTGAAGACTTTGTGTGTTATAATTACAGTAATCTTGAAAGTGTTACAATAATTTGTAATTACAACCGGTGGAATTAGCCTATAAATCAAGTTATCAAATCCGGAACCCATTATTAATTGTCGTGTTACCATTTAATGATAGCGTTACAAACTAATACAACTGAAATTGGCATGGAAGGAAGGTCCATAGCACAATTTGAGGTACTATTCTAGCATGTCAGAAGGGGCTGAGGAAAATTATGAAATATGTATCCATAGATTTTAATTTGGGTTGTCATGAATATGAAATACGTGTATATGATCACACTGTTCATTTGGCTGTGGTTTTGGTGGGAGATACACTTAAAAGTGTGAGTAAGAATGCTCAGAAATACATGTATCCCCAAACTTAACTGATAATGGCTTTCTCAAGAGGACATATGGGTCACAATATGTTACTCTATTGATTTGATTGCCCTTCAGAGATCAACTGAAAAACTGAGAGCCGTGGGCAGAGTCACACATTCAGTCATGTCCTGTCCCAGCATGGACAACCGAGAGAACAGTGGGCAGAAGCAGGTGGTCAATCACAATTTGTGGTACTTATTCTGAACACTCTGGCATGCTAGCAGTTTTCAGTCTTTCATTTGGATTTTTTATGACTAATGACACCTAGCACCATGTTAGGTGGGACCCTTGTCACCATGGAATGGCACGTCCTCAAGTTGCGGATGGAGTAGACACACTCCAGGTATGGAGGGAAACTGCAAATATATTGAATAAGCAGTTGCAGTCAGCCGACCAGCGGGTATCCTCCAGCTTGGGGGTTGGGCATGAGGCTAACAACTCCTCACCACAAAAAATAAACTCGTTACAAAAATTCTCAAGAAGACTAGGACCTGGGCGGATTCCTTGGATAAATGACTTAAGCTAAAGAAAATGGATACAAGATTTGGTACATGGAATGTCCGAAGTTTGTATAGGGCAGGTTCAATCTGGGCAGTGGTGGAAGAAATCTTAAAATATAAGTTAGCTTTAGTGGGGGTACATGTCAGGTGGGATGGAGGTGGCATTGCACCAACAGGCAAATATAAATTTTTCTATCGAAAGGGGAATGAAAATCATGAATTAGGTTTAGGTTCTTTCATGCATAGAAGAATCGTATCAGCAGTTAAGAGGGTAGAGTTCATTAGTGTTAGGATATTATATGTAATACTAAAAGGTCGCTGGTGTAATATCATTACAAATGTTCACACCCCAACAGAAGATAAAATTGATGACATAAAGGGCAGGTTCAGTCAGTGATATTAAGCAGATACAAATGCACACAGCTGAGCAGTTAATACCTGATCCCAGCCCTTTTGAGATTGAAATTGCTATTGCAAAACTGTAAAGGTATAAACTGCCACGTAGTGATCAAATTCCAGAAGAACTTATTCAAGCAGGAGGTGAAATATTCTGTTCTAAGATCCATAAGCTAATTACTTGAATTTAGCATAAGAAAAAATTGCCTGATCAGTGGAACGAATCTATTAATGTACCAGTTAACAAGACGGGTGATAAAACTAACTGTAGTAATTATCGAGGGATATCACTATCAACTTCATACAAAATTTTATCCAATATTCTTCTATCAAGGTTAAGTCCATACATAGATGAAATTATTGTATCATCAGTGTGAGTTTCAACATAACAGATCAGATCTCTTGCATTCATCAGATATTGGAGAAAAAATGGGAGTACAGTGAGACAGTAAATCAGCTATTTGTAGACTTCAAGAAAGCCTATGATTCAGTTAGGAGGGAAGTATTGTACAACATCCTGATAGAGTTTGGGATACCCATGAAACTAGTTAAGCTGATTAAAATGTGTTCAAACGAAACTTATAGTAAGTCCATATATGTAAACATTTGTCTGATAAATTTCCTATCCAGAATGGTCTAAGACAAGGAGATGCTTTATCGCCATTCCTTTTCAACTTTGCTTTAGAATATGCCATTAGGGAGGTCCAGGAAAACCAGGTGGGACTGAAATTAAATGGGACACACCAGCTGTTGGTATATGCCGATGATGTGAATCTACTGGGTGATAATATAGATAACATAAAGAAAAACACAAACTACAACTGACGCAAGTAAAGAGGTTGGTCTAGAAGTAAACACAGAGAAAACTAAGTATATGTTGCTGTCTCATCACCAAAATGCAGGGCAAAATCATGACATAAAGATAAGAAACAGATGTTTTGAAAATGTGTCACAGTTCAGATATTAGGGAACAACAATAACAAGTTAAAACCTGATTGAGGAAATTAAGAGAAGACTGAACTTGGGTAATGCTTGCTACCATTCAGTCTAGAACTTTTTGTCTTCTCGTCTGCTGTCCAGAAACATAAAAATTAGAATATACAAAACTATAATTTTGCCTGTGGTTCTGTATGGGTGTGAAACTTGGTCTCTGACATTAAGGGAGGAACACAGACTGAGGGTGTTTGAGAACAGGGCGCTGAGGAGAATATTTGGACCAACAAGGGATTAAGTGACAGGAGGTTGGAGGAAATTGCATAATGTGGAGCTTCATAACTTGTACTCTTCTACAAGTATAATTAGAATGATCAAGTCAAGGAGAATGAGGTGGGCAGGGCATGTAACACAAATGGGGGAGAAAATGAATGCATATAGGATATTGGTAGGAAAGCAGAAGGAAAGAGACCACTGGGAAGACCAAGAAGTAGGTGGGTGGACAATATTAAAATTGATCTTAGAGAGATATGATGAGATGGTATCGATTTGATTGAGAAGAAGCAGGATAGGGACCAGTGGAGGGCTCTTGTGAACACAGTAATGAACCTTCAGGTTCCATAAAATGCTGGGAAATTCTTGAGTAGCTGCAGATTTGACTTCTCCCCAAGAAGGGCTCAGCTCCATAAGTAAGTAAATGGCACCTAGAATGCCCAAGTGTCCGAAGTATGCACTGTGGATTGCTGACTGTCTCACCCACTGCCCACTGTGCCCCCCTGATCCATACTGGGACAGGACATCACTGCATGTCGTAACTACCCATGATTCCCTCTGTCCATGCTTATACATCCAAGAGCATACTCTGCAGGTATAAATATGAGGGTTGGAATTTTAATAGTGGCAACTATTTATTTACAACTGATACAAAATAGATACATGTTTCAAAGTTTTACTGTCCTTCAATGTAGTCACCAGCATTGTGTACAACCCATTGCCAGCGATGTGGAAGTCGTAGGATGCCTTTAGCAGCGCCTGTTGTGTTGATATTTCAAATGGAGCGGTCTACTGCCTGAAGAATCTCTGGAACAGTTCTGAAGCGAATGCCACGAAGTGGTTCCTTCATCTTAGGAATCAAGTAGAAGTCACAAGGGCTTAAGTCTGGGGAGTATGGTGAATGGTACAGCACTTCCCAGCCCCACCGATCGAACAATTCAGCCACAGCTTGCGCTGCATGTGGCTGAACAGTGTCCTTTCTCAAAGCTGGTCACAGGTTGTGTTCCAAAAATGAACAGTAATACTGCGCATTGACAGTTTGCTGTCACCAAAACTTTCACATTGCTGGGGTTCTGACAAACTTTTGATTTTTGTGTTGACCCGTAATGACGCCATTCGTTCAATTGGCGTTTCATTTGTGGCTCATACGATTTGGCCCATGTCTCATCCAGCATAATGATACGGTGTAAGAAAGCCTCTCCTTCACGCTCATAGCGCTCCAAGTGGTTATGAGCAGCATCGTATCATAGCCATTTCTGCATTTGCATCAAATCATGCAGAACCCATCATCATGCAATTTTTCTCATGCCCAGGCGTTCCTTCAGAATGTGAAGCACAGTCGTATGCGCTAATCCTGTCTCTCGGGCCAGCTCAAAAACGTATGATGTCGATCACTCTCCTGTAATGTAGAAAGAACATAAACTTCTTCTTCACCAACACTAGGATGACCTGGCCGACGCATGTCTGCCACATTTCGGCATCCCTCGTTGAGGCTTTTACCCACCTTACCAGTGTTCTGCAAGACAATGCAGATTCCCCGCAAGCCTCTTGAAGACCATGATGACACTGCTGTGCTGTAAGGCCTCTGGCACATTCAATCTTTATCCAACTCCATTGTTCCTGTTTCTAAAACATCGTGACAACACTATATTAGACCGCCAGCTAACACTGGCCTCTGTTCTTCTCGTCACTGGGAGAGTCCATTTGCTCTGAGGTAAGGTAGGTATGTAACTAACGTGTGGTATAAGCAACATTATTTGGTTCCGTTGCATGGGGTCTCTACAGCAGTGTTGCCACTTTTAAAGCTCCAACCCTCATACATGCATGGCTACACCATTTATCACATCACCTCCTCTGATGATGGAGACAGAGAGCTCGCAAATTTTGGATACTACATTTTCATGTTGCTGATTGACCAAAGGGGCTTCTTCTTCTTCTTCTTCTTCTTCTTCTGCTTCTTCTTCTTCTTCTTCTTCATCATCATCATCATCATCATCATCATCATGTTATTCTGTATATAAGCAACTTGTTGCAAGCCACATTAAAACGTCTATGTATATTTAACACAGGCCATCAATAATGCAACAACTTGTTCCTTTCTCTCCCACTTACACTTTAACACAACTTGTTTCGGTCTTGCAGACTGCTGACGTAACAGAACAATGGGCTAATATACATAAAAACAAGCTGCTGCAATCAAAAACCTGGAGAGACACACATAGTTCTAAACAAATGAACGACATCCCTTGTGAGGAGGAATAGAATTTAATCAAATGAAAATTTTAATAAAAACATTTAATGGATTTTATTTTATTAAGTGGACTACAGCATGTGATTTTAGAGCATATTAATTAATGCAGTGTGCAGATTATATATATCAAGACACCTGAAGATGGCCATCTAAGGCCGAAACATGTTGTGTTAAAGTGTAAGTGGAAGAAAAAGGAACAATCTGTTGCATTACTGACAGACCGTGTTATACATAGACATCTTATCATCGGTTATTATAAAACCTTCAAACCATATAATAATTTGGTTATTTTTTAGTCTTTGCTAAAAAAAATAAATTAAAAAAATGATACAAACTCAATATGCAAAATTAATGTCAGGGGATTCCTGCAACTGCTGTATCAATGGGCTGTCATCAGCACTTGTCTAAATTATATCCAGAAGCCAATCAAGTATTTCTTTACATCATGACTGGCCTAACAGCATGCAGAACACTGGCTAACATGCTGATAGTCACGCCGAAGGAAAATACAGCCTTCTGCATCAGCCAGTGTTCAAAAAATTTAGCAGTAAAGGGTTAAGAGAAATAAGTGGGCTAGTATTCCCTCTGTTAGAAGCAGCATCAAACCTTATGGTAACATCTGAATAACTGAGTGTATGTATACCTGCTGTTTGAAGTAGCGTCTGTCTTCCTCATCCATTAGAACTAGGTTCAGATAGTACCGAACTGAGAATTTTTTGTTGATGTCCCGCATACTTGGGGTTAGGTCATATCCTGCCAGAAACACTCTGATAGGAATGCTCTCCCCACGCACTGGTGCTCCGTCCATTATCTCATACTTGGCAATTGTTTCATTCTCTGTGAATGTGTTTGGTCCTGCAAGGTAATTGAGGTGTTAATAACATGAAACACTTAAAAAGAACACACTTGTCCAGATGAGTATTTCTACACATGCAGAAATTCATACCAGCAACTACATCACATTTTCTCTGCTAACCAGTTCAAGTTCTACAGTACTCAATGTAAAAGAATAATATATTCACTCAACTATTATCAGTTCAAATTCCATAATGCTGAACTTCATGCCTTTACTTTCCTTTTTTAATTCTTACAACAGTGCATGGCACATTTTTATTTTGGATAAGCAATATGTCAAAGCTGTTGCAACACATGGTCACACGATTCAGTTCCCTATTACCGTGTACTGAGAAACTTTTAAACAGATCTTAAGAATAAACAACGAGGTCTTCTGCATAAAGGTATCCGTTCTGTGCATTCCATACTCGACAATGCCCATCACTATATTTATATGGTATAAATTTGTTCACCCTGGACATGGAGCCTGATCACAACATACTGTGACCGAATCTCTGAGAATGAAGATAGTGTACCTACAGGGATGGGAGACTCCTTCAGAACTTAACATCTCTTCTAACATTCTTGCAATGTCGGTACAGTTTCCTAAACAGCCAGTAGCAGGAGCTGCATCACAGCTGTTTCCAAATCATCAAACACTTTGCCTTCCAAGGTTTCTCTAAGTTAGTGGAGCAATCAAGTCACATGGTGGGTGGGGAGATGGTCTCACTGAATCCTGTGCTTAACTAAAAATTTCTCTGGGTATGTGAATTTATCATTAGTCAAATCCCCACTTTTGCCACCACTGTCAATGCAGTCATCTCAAAGACTGAAAATATAAACATATTGTTTCCTGTTAACTTGCCAGAAGATCCAGTTGTATCACATTCACTCCTTCACCTTCTCCCATCGCACATTCACTCTTGCTCTGGAGGCCGGTGCTTCTAATTTACTGGCTCCACTTCTGTGCTCTGCTTCTTTTTCATTTTGGAGGGGATCGACCCCTCCACAAGGTCCGATCCTTGATCATGTCTTTCTTCGGAAGTCCCTTATGTCGACGTAACAGCACTTGAAGTGTTGTTTGCACTTGTTGATGTCGTCATTCCTCCTGGTCTTCCTGCCACTTGCTGGTACGAGACCATGGCACAACAGTGCCCATTGCTGGTTTCTCTACGCCACTACGGGCACCCTGCAATGGTTGAGACTCATCATAAGGCTGCTTGCAGAGACAGTGTAGACAACTGTCGACGGCCAATTCCTTTCTCCGGCATCCGAAGGCTCCCTGGGTAGTTTCCTTCTTGAAGGCATCTCTCCAATGTCATGCCACTGTTGCACGATGGGATACCTTCCTGCAGGTGGCAGCCAACTTCGTCCGGGATACACAATCTCCTCGGGTCCAAGATTTCCTGAAGATGTTTCTCTTGAGCCATGCCACTGTTGCACAGCTGTTTTCTTCTGTTGTGCCATTTCCACACGGTGGCTTGTCCCTCTGCGGGCTACAGCCAACTTCTTCTGGGGTCCACAATTTTCCCGTGTCGAATTCTTCATGATTTCAGTCCCTATGCCTTTTCTTCTTCAGTTCTCCGACCAGCATTACTTCATCGTCTTTTACAGGTACCTCTCGTTGTTCTGCCGCCTCAGGTTTCATGTCCACTGAGGCCAGCTCTTCATCTTCTGGACATGCCTCCATTTCTCGGCAGGCCATCATCACTCCGACTGGTATCACCATGGGGACCTCTACTTGTTGTGCCGCCGCAGGTTTTGTGTCCACTGAGGCCAGCTTTTCTTCTTCTAGACGTGCCTCCATCTCTTGGCAGGCAATCATCTCTTTTCTGGTTTTCATTGCTCCTTCTTCAGGTTCTCCAACCGGTATCACTATGGCGTCTTCTATGGGTACCACTCGTTGTTGGGCCACCTCAGGTTTCCTGTCCACTGAGGATGGCTCTTCTTCTTCTAGAAATGCCTCCATCTTTTGGTAGGCCACTGTCTCTGCCTCTTCATTAGGAATCTTCTGTCGCCTCACTACATCCTCTTCTTTGCTTGGATCTGTCTCCAACTTCTCTAGATCTGCCTCCACTGCATCTTGGCAGGCTGTCATCTCTTCCTTCCAGGCATTCATACTGGCTTTCAACCTCTTCTCTTGCATGGCGGCTGTCCTTGCTTCGATAGCTCTTGTTTCTGCTCAGATGGCTTCTATTTCTGTGGCTATTTCTTTTCACCAGGCTTTCTATCGGCGTCTGCCTCTTCTCGCCAGGCTTTTCTATCAGCGTCTACCTTTTCTCGGTTGGCGTCTAATTTTGCCATGAAATCTTCAGTGTCTTTCCTCCTACTGGCCTCCATTTCTTTCAGCATTTCGAATAATTTTTCCATATCTTGTTTCTCCATTTTGTAGCAGTATATTTTGCTGAGGCGTGTTCAAGTTCGTAAAGCACTTCTGACACCAAATGTAGTGTGTTCTGCTACTGAAGACGCCGTTCAGATTGTTAATTGGTTTATTTAACAACCTACATATCTAACTACAAATACTTATAACACGGTTACGGGTTTACACACTTTACAACCCTACACAATAATCTCTTCAGCAGTCTTCACGTATTTATACTGCGGGAGCTATACAAGTGTCACCTACTCACTCACTCCCAATACCTTCTCAGTTATCACAAACTATCACTGATTATCACACATAAACTCTTCTTATCACACTTTCGGGTCTTCTTTCCGCGACTGCTGCTATATTTCAACTGTCTTCGTAGGCAGTGTAGTTCTATTATAAACTCTCAGCCGGACAACAGGAAAACGCCTCACTTCCTTGTTGCCTAGTTGTGTTTACCAACTGCCTAGCAACAGTCGTTGCACGGGCTCACCTGTTGTGTGACATCACAGCCTCACAGGGAAGCGTGTTTACCGAGTGCTGCGAAATGATAGGAGTGGGGGTACATGATGTCACTCGTGGAAACGCAGAGTTCACGTGACCCCTACTTCCTGTTGTGCCATCCACGTCACAATACGTGGTGAGTTCAAAAAGTATCGAACCTTCTTTTTTCCTGTGTAAACCAATGAAGCGCGGGAGGCTCCCTTCGGTGGAGATGTGGAGGGGACATTCATGCACAGTCGTGAATTTTTTCCCACCCGCAGAAAGCGTCAGTCGCTGGCAGTCGGCCTATGAGTGAGGGCGTGTAGTGAGTGCTCATCAGATTCCAGTAAGGTGTAAAATGATGGAACATGAGCAGCGATATTGCATCAAATTTTGCCAAAAGCTGGGCGATACCCAAGTGGAAACCATTCGCAAGATTCAACAGGCTTTCGGGGAAGATGCCATGAGCAACTCACGGATAAAGGAGTGGTACAACCGCTTCAAAGATGGCCGCACATCAGTGGACAGCGAACCGCGTTCAGGCAGACCATCAACAAGCCGAAATGAGAATGTCAATGAGCAAGTGCAGGCTTTGGTCATGGAGGACCATCGTATCACAGTCCAAGAACTTGCGAACGAGATAGGGGTAAGCAGTGGATCGGTACATTCAATTTTGACCGAGGATTTGGGCATGAGGAGAATGTCCGCGAAATTCATACCGAAACTGCTAACAATGGAGCAGAAGCAACGCCGTCTGGAAATCACACAGGACATGCTGGACAATGCAAACAGTAACCCCAACTTTCTGAACACCGTGATCACAGGCGATGAGTCGTGGGTTTATGGGTACAACCCAGAAACCAAGATGCAGTCATCACAGTGGAAACATCCAACATCCCCGAGGCCAAAAAAAAAGCACGGCAGGGCCGCAGCAGTGTCAAGGTCATGTTGGCCGTTTTCTTCGACTCCTGTGGGGTTGTGCATCATGCGTACGCATCACAAGGCCAAACCATCACAAAGGAATACTAGCAGGAGGTCCTTCTGTCGCCTTCATGATGCTGTGCAGAGCAAACGACCGGATCTGTGGGCAGCAAAAACTTGGCAGCTCCATCAAGATAACCCACCCATTCTGCACATCTGATTCAGACTTTTGTCACCAAACATAACATCCCTGTGGTTCGTCAGGCTCCGTACTCCCCCGACATGGCTCCATGTGACTTTTGGCTATTTCCCAAGCTGAAAATGTCGTTGAAAGGAACCCGATTTGAGTCAAGAGAAGACATCATGTGGAATGCGACGGCCCGGCTGATCACCATTCCAAAAGACGTGTTCCAGAAGTGTTTCCAAAAATGGTGGAAGCGCTGGGAGAAATGTGTGCATTACCAAGGAGACTACTTTGAAGGGGATTAGGGTTTTGTACCTCCAAATCAATAAATGTATTTCTGCCGACCAAAGGTTCGATACTTTTTGAACACACCACATATGTTAAAAATTTGACTTTGCTCAGCACACTTAGCATGTTCAATAATGAACTAAGTAAACAGCCAGCATCACTACGATTTTGCTGCACACATACTGAACTCTTTTCGTTTAGGGAAAGAATGGGACTTCCAGTGTGAACACTTGCTTAGTTTAAATCACAACCAAACAGCCATATTTCCTTACCTGTTATGATTCTGTCATGTCTAGACACAGGGTTTGGATTGGTAATTTGATTTACGGAACACTTATATGAGAGCTATTCAGAAAGTAATCTCCATTATTTTTGGCAACTAATGTAGGAGCAGCAGAGGGCTCGCACATGCCTCACTGACTTGTAAACCATCACACAGCTGGTAACCTAGCGTCTGTTCTTGTCTCTACAGAGTTCTACACTGTTCTCTATAAGATTACCATAGTCAGACTAGATTATCACAAGTTTTGTGCAGGATGAGTTACAAAAATGCACACACGTGCACACAAAATGCAGAGAATGGCTTCAGCTTTAGTAGACATTCTTAGAGCAAAACCAAAAAGATGGCACATCATACAAGCAACAGGTGATGAAACATGGGTTTCATTTGTGAATTTTGAAAGCAACGAGCAGTCAAAACATTGGATACACACACACTTTCACTAAAAAGTTGGAAAAGTTTAAACAAACATCTGTCTGCCAGAAAGCTGATGG